CCGCCCGCGGCCCTGGGGGCTCCCCGGGGGCCCCCCCGACGGCAGCGGCCGCTTCGTGCTGCAGAGGCAGCGCCGCGTGCGTGAGAGCCGCCCGGGCGCCGTCCTTGCCCTTAAACCTGGTGGAGGGTTTTGGAACGGGCCGTCCGAGTCCCCCGTGTCTCCCCCCGCCGCCTCCCTCCGCCCCGGCTCGCCGCGGGTTGTGCAATGCCCCGGAGCCAGCTCGGGGCTGAAGGATTCCCTTGTCTGCGCCGAAAGCCGCAGCAGCTGCTTGACAACAGGAAACAATGTGGAGTGAATGGAAAAAAAAAAAAAAGAAAAAAAAAAAAAGGGGGGTGGCGCCGCCTGAACAACTTCCCTTTACATCACTGCCCAAATAAGGAGCTTTAAACTAACCTTTTTCTATTGCAGCCCGGGCAGAAGATCCCCCTGGAGTCCCAGGGTCGCTGCCTCTCGCCGGGCAGAGTCATGGGAGCGGCGCGGCTGCAGCGCGGGGGGCAAGTGCAGGTAACGGGGCCGCTCGCCTCGCTCCAGGCTCCCGGCGCGTTCGGCGGGGCGGGGGACAGGGACATTTTCGCACTTCTTTTTGATTTCATTTTATTTTTCCCCTCGTCTCAGCTGTGTCAGCGCCGAAAGGGGCGGCCGGGCGGGACGACTCGCGGCGGATCAGGCGGGGGTGAATTAAGAGCAAGCACTTGTATCACTCGGGCATGTCTCCTCGATGAGGTCACTTGTAATGAGTAACCAGGAGTTACTGGATGTCGGACTACTGTATACTGTAAACACCGAGGCTTGTTTCTCTTGATCCTCTGCCAGCCAGCCCGGGTGCCCGCACCAGCAAATAAATAAATGGCAGCGGGAGTCTTAATTGGCGGCCGCCTCTAATGAACGTCCCGCGAGCCGAGGACTTTCACTCCCTGTGCCGTGTGGCACCGGTGCTGGGGAGCTGTGTGTCTGTCTGTCTGTCTGTCTGGGACGGATTTCCTCCTTATCATTTGCACAGGAAAGTGAGCGGGGAGTGGAAGGGCTGTTCTTGGCTGCCACGTGACTCCAGCGAGAAGCTCTGCTAGTAAAGATCAGGGGTGAGCTGCTATCCATTTGTCTTTCCCAAGTTAAGAGTGCAGAATATTGCCTAGATTGGTAGTTTTTCCATGCCCACCTTCCTGCACTAGATGCAGAGAAGGAGGCCCTGGAGCTGGAACCGAACTGTGGCATTTTATCCTTTTATTTTTTATTATTTTTTAAGTGTTTTCCTGCTGATAGCACCTGCACATCAGCAGAAGAGGAGGCAGCCTCCAAATGCAAAAAGTCCGAGTGGACAAACACTAACAATTTAAACTTCTTAATCCTCCTCGATGGAAATTAGTAATGCACCCAAAGGTGCAATGAGGCACATGCTGAGCTCCTCTGTGCAAACGGTGGTTATTCAGGGAAAGGTGCTGTGCATTTTGTTGTCGTTTTGGTTTTTTTCTCCCCGTTCTTTAGCTAATCGGAACAACCAGCGTGAAAGCGCCGGGCACTTTTACTCAGTTGTGCTCTGGCAAGGGGAAATGGCTGGGGCAGCTGATGCAGTGATTTATGGTGTGAGCAATAGGATCCAAACCCTGCCCTGCTGCTACAGGGTAACCTGTAGGCTATGGGCTTTTAGTTTCCCTGTGCCAGAAGATTGTTTGTGTCAGTGTGAAAGGATGTTTTAGACCTTCAGGAGCTGGAAAGGAAGGAGTTGGGTGTCCTTAGAGCCCCTTCTCCATCCCTCTGGTCTCACTGGGCTCCAGGAATCCCGCTGACACGTGAAGCAGAGGAGAGCTGCCCATGCTTGTTGGGACTGTCATGTTTTTCTCAGCATTTCAGGAACTTTATTAATTCTTATAGGAAAAAAAAATGCGCATGGTGTTGTCAGTGTGGTGTGTTGTGTTCTGTTTTGTTTTTCCCAGTAAGAATGGGTGGGATTCGCATGGGATGGGGCATCTCGGTTCCCACCTGGCTCACAGGTTTCAACGACCTCCAAAGCTCATTACCACGAGCCTTGTTGCTCCCAGCCCTTTCTTCCCCCACTGACGGTCTTAGCAGAGGGATCCAATTGAGAGAGTCCTGTAAAAATGTTTTTCTTTTTTTTTGCTTTCTCATCGCTAGAGAAATATCCTTTAGCAAACAATAGAGAGATACTGGTGTAGGAAATGGGGTGTAATATCTGCTGTCCTGCAATTGCTCCTGTGAAGAAAGGCCTTCTGCCTCCAAGACTGCTCTTTTCAATGCAAAAATCACAGCAGTTGTTGCTAGGAAAAAAAGAAATGTAGAGAACTTCTGAAAACTGCTAATCAAAGACAAACTTTTAGAAAATACTGATCGTGTAACTGATGACCGTGTTGCCACTGTACTGCTCGTTTTGTGCTGCCTGTCACCTGGGATGCCTTCGGCACATCCAGACGTGCATCCCGTAGGAATCCCTGTGAGGAACCCTGCGGATGCTGTTGTGGTGTGAAGGCCGGGGGTGTTTTCTTATCTGCTACAACCGGTCACTTCAATCCTCAGCTGCAAAGGGGTGTTTCTAACTTCTCCATACAAGAAGGTGTAAGGTGTTTCAGCATGTTTTCCCGTTTGTTTGGGTGGCCGATAGGTCACTATGAGGGGCTCCAGGGAAGTCCCCACCGTACGTCACTGCCGAGTCCCATGGCTGGTAGCTCCTTTGCCTATAGAATAGCTGGATTTCCTCACGCTTCCTCCATTTCCACCCGACTGGATGGGTTCCTGCAGCCCCTGTGCTTGGAGCTGCTCCGCCTCTGTTGTAACTTCTGGCTGTGTTTGGAGGCACACGTCGAATGCAAAAAAAAAAAATTGTTCTAAATCATTTTAAAGCATTTAGTTCCTTGGCAAAGCGGTTCGAACTCCAAAGAAAAAAAAATAGGGCTCTGGAAAGGAAAGTTATTTATTGAAAATATACATTCAGCACCATTGTCTCCAAGTTTAAAAAGACTGCTTGTTAGGAGATCTTTACAGCTCTGCTGGGATCGACAGCCAGCAGGGCCGGTTGGGATGCTGGGAACTGTTTATCCTGCTTTCCATCCCCCCCGCCGTGACACTTGCCGAATTCTTCCCACCTTTTGGTTGTTAATCCCGGCCTGTCGCGATGCCCCGTTTCCCGCTCGCGCCTCCTCTCCTGGGGTCGGCCTGGACCACCGGCTCTGAGGATGGAGATGACGAGCGCCGTGGCCTGGAACAAGGGTCTTTCCGAAGCCGCCTTCGTACTGGGGGCAGTAAGCGGAGCAGGCGGGAGCCTTATCCGGCCCTGTGCTAATTACAGGCCTGCATAAGGTGAACTTTTAATGAGCATCAAAGGAAGCTTTGTGCATCAGGGAGGGCCTGCGTTGCGGGGACTGGGGGATTATTCAGTCATTCAAAAAACATTCGATCAAAGCAAATGAGCAATAAATCTTCCTTATCCTCTCCTGTGCCTCGTTTGCTTTGGAAGCTTTCTTCAGTGGCCAAAAGTTGTGATCTGGGGGCGTTCCCTTTCGAGGAGCTTCTCAGTGACCTGGGAGCAGGGATGAATAGGAGTGTGTTAGATTGGAATGCCCTACACCAAAACCAGAGCGAACAAGCGGGGAGCTGCGATCACCCAGCAGCTCAGCCTTTGGAGGGCCCCTTGGTTGTCAAGTCATTAGCTGGGTTATGCAGTGCTGGGAGGGCTTGGGTTTTTTGGTTCTTTCGCCCTGCTCTGTTATTAGACCTGCAGATTTCAGGATCCTGGAATGTAGTTTGCATCAAAGATTGGCTGGATCCAACCAAATTGGATGCTGGATTTCAGTTTCTGCAGGAATGTTCCTCTTGGATGCATCAAGGCATCAAGGTGTTTACTGAGCCTCCCTGTTTGGTGGCACAATTTAGAAGGGAAGTCTCAGGAGGATCCAATCAAATTGAACCTGGCCCTTTTCCCAGCAAACCAGCATTTAAGTGTTGTAGTTTTGAGAAGTCTTTATTGCCGTGCTCCTGCGTCTGGATCAAAATCCAACTACCGTGTTGCTTAGCTGGTCTCTAGGGAAGGGTGGAACTTGAAAGGCATGAAATCAGCACACCCTTTAATCATACGACCACCTACTGATATTTTTCATGGGAACCACTAGTAGATTTTAAATCTTACACAGACAAGGACCGGTCTTCTTCAGCTTTCGGTGTTGGACTTCCACTGCCAGTAGACGAGTCTAGAGGCAGGGCTGTAATGAGCCTGCGAAGCAGCAGGGACGGTGGGACCCAAGCAGTGTTGCACTGCAGGCTGGTTGCGTTCCTCACTCGAGGTTGGGCATGGTCTTGTGGTGGAGGACTGGTAAGCCAAGGGCATGACTGGACACATGAAAACAGCAAGGTGTGCAAGCTGGGGCTTAACGCTTCAGGTGTCTCTGCTAGGAATGACGGTGTGTAGTCTCCAGACACTTGAGGTGAACGAGGGGTTGTTGTTCAGGTAGGTACGGGGTTTGAGAAGCAAGTTGTGAAAATTGAAGAGCTCGTAGGAGCCTTCCAGTGAGTTAGGAGTGAAACACGTTGACCATCACCTCTAGCTGGTGCCTCCTTCCCCAGGCTGTTGGGAGCTGCCCAGATGAGGGTGTCTGGTGGGAAGCCATTCCCCATTCCCACGTTCCCAAAGGTGAGGACCTCAAGGGAAGCAGCAAGCACCCCGGGGCCGAAGCTGCAGGCTTGTCACTAAGTGGAATGTGTTTCAGAGTTTTCCATGAGGCATCACTGACTCTTTAAATAGCTGCCCACGGGTTACATTTGTTTCCTCCTGCCCTTTAGTTGGTTTTCTTGGTTTTGTTTCCTTCTGGGGAAATCTGCTAACGTAAATTAAAAAAAAAAAAGTCAAACCAAAGATGGGGCTAAAATATATTGACTGGAATAAGGTTAAAAAAAATTCATAAAGTTCACGAATTTCAGAGAGCCCTGGGGTGACTGGCACTGCCTACAAAAATAAGAGTGGCTGTAGACTGCTTCGCTTGGTTAACTAGTACCTGGTGGTAGTTTGGTCATCTGGCAGATCTGAAACACTCCCTTGGAGGCACCAGAGCTACCCCGAGTTTTATCAGCTGGGGGAATGTGGCACTTCGGAAGCGGTGTTTGAAGTGCAATGAGCGAACTTGGTGTGATGGAGGAGGGAGCGGTGAACACGCCGCTGCAGGGATGAAGGCTCTGTGCAGGGTGAGATGCTTTGCAAGGGGGTTGACCTTAGAAGGGCTGTTTGTGGCAGTTGTTCTTTGCACAGGTGGAAGTAGCTGAGAAATGTCTGGAGTGGAGCTTGAGGAAGCCTCTCGGCATCCCCACTGGAGTCACGGGCTGAACTTGGGGATTTCTGCTGTGGAGGAAGTCAGGCTGGTAGGGGCAGGAGGGAGGGTTTTTGTGCATGTGTATTCAAACAGAGCAAAAGTGTGCTGGGTCCTGGCACATGGTAAGTAGGAAGACAAAGTTTTGGTTGTTTTTAAAAGAAGAATGGCTTCTTTTCTTTTCTTTTTTTTTTTTTT